CAACAACAAGAAAAAAACGTGGCTGGAAGACAAAAATGGAAAAAACCTGAACACTTGATTTAATTTCTTCATTCTTCTTCAGCAGCCAACTTTGATTTTCCTAGTGTGGCAAAGGGATAAAGATTATCCCAGAAATTTTAAGTGTACCAGGTAGATTATTTGATGTGCTAAAAGTTAACTTAGAGAATAAAACCAATAAATTAAAATCTTTTTCAATGCCAACCATAAAAAAATTTCCCCTTACTCATTACTCTTATGTTTTTTTGAAAACAAGCCATTCAAGTTACACACACTCACCAAACTCCTTGGCACAGGTCTGGTGGCCTAGACCAGATGTCTGAGGTTAAACACTGCAGTAAAGAGCCGTGCTTGTTTTGTTATATGTTCTTTTCCTATTAGTTTCCAACATATAATTTGTTTTTCCACTGCTACACACGCAGTCAGACCTGCAGTCAGTAGTTCAGAATATGTCTTGCATCTGCCACTGCCACTGCTTTTCTCCTTCACCATTATTCACCTCACATTGTGGGATACTGTTTTCAATTCTTAGAGCTGAAACTGAAATATCAAAACTGTGACATAGCTACAGAGATCTAGTCATACCTGGGTGTCTTCAGGAAAAGATACACTGAAGAAAGACTCTCATGGTATGGTAGTGAAGGGAGCCATACCAAAATTGCCATCAGGCAAAATCAGAGTACCCTTTTATGCTCGAAAAAACCTTCTGAAACCAGACTGATAAGATCAATCTCTCTGTTTGATACATGCGCTTCAATTATTCTTAATTCTTGGTTCACACAGCACATGACTTTGAAAACAAGGGGTGTTTTCCATATATATAAGACCAGTAAGGTTCTTCCATATGGGGTGAAAAAAAAAAAAAAAAACACCACCAAAAACACCCCACAACCAAAAATGAAGCACATAAAAGATTATTGCTCTCAATATGGGGAATACTGGGTGAAGAGTTTAAAGGAAGGGATATATAGAAGGTTAAAAGCAGAAGATGCAGTTGTATTTTACAAATATGTAATCCTTCTCTCTGAGGAGAGAAAGAAATGGTAATTCCTAGCAACTAAGCTTGCTTTTGTGGACACCCTAATACAGAGGATCTGTCCATTCCGTGTTCTAAAATTTCTGGTAACACTGGACAGGCCTAGATCGGAGCTTTCTTGTGCTTGGTGATTAAAAACATGAAGCATCTTTGACCCAAGTAATTTCAAACGTTTCAGAAGAAAGCACAAAAATAGGTTATGAAGACATTATGTGAATCTGTAAAGCTTTTTTTCAACCCTCTCAACATATGACTCTTATTTTAAAAACAACACAAAACAAAAAAAGCAACTCTGTGATCCAGTAAGATATTCCTAACTTGGGCACTCTACAAAAAAGTACAAGAGGTTAATCTCTTCTTGCACAGTATGGATGTAAAATGTTGGAAGCCACAGCTCTGTGAACTGATAAAAACCAAAAGTGTTACTTGTGTCAGTTATGCCATAAAATAGGTTATGGTCCTATCTATCAGATGACAGAGTGGTAACACTACAGTTGTAATTAGCACTGACTGACAACTCTGGCCCAAGCTCAAGAGATGTAAAAAATAAATGAGCACAATATATCAACTCCTTGCCATCCGCACTCATAGTTCTACCAGGACTATTAGTAGCATGCTGTGGGGATCTCTCAACTACACCTAATTTGAGGGTGAAAAACCTCTGTCCGCTAAGACTGCGGTGTTTCCTCTTCAGCGTAGCTGGTGCTCATGAGCGAAAATTAACCGGGTGAGAGTAACTCTACATAAGAACACATGGATTCAAATATTTAAAATACTAATCCATTTTTTTGGTAAATTTGATCAGACGTATGAATATATGTTTGCTGGGTGATTAAATAAAATATCAATAAGAAAATGAAGTCGTTATTTCAAACCATTTTACATATACGCATATGTATTTAGCAAACTTACATTTCTTAATAACTCATTTAAGGAGTGACAGATTTTATAAAATGTGACAGCTTTAACTAGATAGCACCCCACACAATGAAGTGAGGCGTACAGCTAACAGCACCAACAAGAGACAAAGAAGTACATAAGCCAAGAGTTAAGGGAGCGGCAGGAGAAGGGCAGGCCCTGCACCGGGAGCGGAGCGCTCTGCCACGGGCTCGGGTACCAGCACGGCCGCCTCGGCAGTGACCGCCTCCAGCACCCCCCTTGGCCTCTCTACCCAAATACCTGAAAGAAAGAACGAAAACATGGCAAAAGAGCAAATAAAAATATCTCCCGCTTTCCAATCTGAAATCGAACGTATAAATTAGTTCTACTACATGAAATTTTAAAACGGTTATCTGTAGATTCGAAGGGAATATAAGGTTAATGCACACAGCTGTGAACGGAGCTCAGCTTCTGTAGGAACTGCCTGCCTGATAGGTGCACATACCATGAAATAATTTTACTTTCAAAAGAAAATTGTTTGCATTTTTGCAGATGTTTGTCCTCTATATTTCACTACATTCGAGCATATTTCTTCTTTCTTTTTTTTTTGAAATATTCCAAACGATTTCTTTCCCTTTTGCTCTCTGATTTTTTTACTTGCTTATCCCTTCTCCTATTTCTTCCAAAATCCCTCATTCTTCAGTGTTTCCTCATTTTTAGCCTTTGCTTATTCCTCATCTATGCTTTAATTTTTACTGAAAGATTAATACCAGGGCAGACCGCACCGAAGTATTCTCATCGCCTTCCAGGAATAAACCGAGTAAAATGAGATAACCCTTATCTGTATCTCATACAGAGAAATCTCTGTTTTCTAGGGAGTAAATGCTATACATCTACCCATTCCAGCATTCACTACAGAAAGATTTAGAAAAGAATCCATTTGCCTACAAACTCTACTCATGCCCTAATTATTAAATAAAATATTAATATTTAATATAATAATTGCATAAATATTTAAATGTTTGTTTCGTGGTTATAGAATTACTAATACTTTTCCCTCTCTTCCTGCTTCCTCTGCCTCCTGTTCAAATCAGTTCTAATCAAATTTAAAGTGGGAAATACTGCTCTGCTGCATATGGGAGAATATTTATACATTCTATTTCCATAATAATTTTATTTAGTTTTTCAGGCAGAAGTAGCTTTTCCTGACTTTCCACATCAAACCTTAATTCCTATTCACCACAAGATAAGAAAATGTTATTACAAAATAACTAGCTCAAGCACCAACATATACTTATCCCAACTGATACAATCTGAGCATTAACAAAACAGGTTATTACCCTATTTATTAAAAAATTATGACGTGTCCACTCCTGTACCAAACACAAACCACGCAGGAAAAGAACTGCAATAAAAAGGAGGAAGATTATCTAAATTCAAGTTCTTGAGATTTCGCAGGTATTTAACATTTGCTTGCTTTTTTAGCACTTTATCCATTACTTGTTCAATTTTTTTAAATCTAGAAAGGAAGTCACATGTTGCAATTATTCACACAACTAGCAGTTATGAATTTGATGTTACAGTGAAGACTACTAGGTTGACGTAAAGTCCCAAATACATAAAAATGGAGATGGATGAAGTAATTATGCTAACAGATTGCATGGAGTTTGAGGATCTGCAATACTTTCTGCAAGGACAGGAAACATACTTTTTTCCTCTAAATTATGTTCTTTTCATTTGGCAAGAACATATGCCCACTTCCTCCCCCCCAAATTTTTCTTATCTACTACTATGAAACTGAAACCAAAACAATTTTATTTATCAACCAGAGGCAATACTGCTTCCTGGAACACCCTGAAGTCAAGCAGTAACACTGAAAATATCACAGAAGCTGGCAGTACAGAGCAAATACATGTAAATCCGTCTTAAATGCAATCCTACCAAAAATAACAAGTGTTTTAATGTTATTTAATCATAAATAGCATCATCGTATCATCACTGTATGAGAGGCAATGGATTCTGAGTGGTCACAGCACTGAGTTAGGAAGCTTAAGTTCAATTCCTACTGTCAAAACCCCAGTGTTGTGGGACCCCGGGCAAGGCGCTGCTTTCTCCATTTCCACCACCACGTTTTGTTCATCTTTCCTGCTTCAGCCTAAAGAATTTGCCGTCTTAACTCTTTTCATAAAGGCCTTCTAATCTCAATTAAATCTCCAGACATAACTGAAGAGGAATTCTGGTATTAATATTAATTACACCTACAGAATCAGCTGGAGCCTGACAACAGCAGGAACTACGGACAGGCAGCCAAAAAAGGCCTGTTTTGATGCAACACAGCCAGTTTACATTTCAAATCTGGAGACCACAATCTGATAATATTTTCTAAGTAAAACACAAACACTGCTAAAACTGAAACATTTTAAGACAAAACACATAAACAAGTAAGAGGAAAAAGATGACAGGAATCACAGGAAGGCCACAAGCTGAGGTAAGCCCTGGAACTACGCTTCAACTACCAATTTTCTTCACAGTCCCTTTAACCAATACCTGTATCCTAGTTCCGTGCTTTTTTAAAAATAGCTAAGCTCCTACTAGTTACCATTTTCTTATTTACTGCAAATTGCCATTGCAAATTAGAAGCTCTCCTTCATTTTTAAACTAGGCATTGCGGAAAGCTCAGCCGTGGGTACCTGAGTGCAGCTGTACACAGCTTTCAGACAAATAGTCCTTTGAACTATGTGGGCATATAAACTTCCCACAGCTGTCCAGCAATACCGCCCTCTTGGCCTTCTGAAGTTTTGTGTTTAGTCTTTTTTCTCCTCCAGAGCACACAAAAGTGTAAAAATATTAAGTAGCTACTCATACATTCAAAGACCAATTAATTAAAGGAGATAAGGCTATTTAAGTAAAGCTTAATTTTCTGCTTTTGTGGATGGCAAGCACAGCACCTCTAAACCAGGAAAGTAACAGAAGACTTCAGCCAATTGACAGGTGCACCCCCCCTTCTCTACTCTTCAGAAAATAGTTTTACCATTCGGACAATGCAAATCATAATGCAGCCACTTACCTGGGTTGGAACGAGTACCGGAGGATACGCTAGCTTGTGATGTCTGTACATCCAAAATGAAAAGAGTACAATCACGGCGATTCCCATTATAGGCACCAATGAATAAAGCAAGGTATTGAACAGAGGTGGCTTAGGTGTAACCGGATTGGAAGTTGCTGAAGAAAAAAACAAAAAAACAGCTTTTAAAAACCAAAAATTATCCCGTGCTTGAAACATCTAGCATCTTGATTTTCTAAAAATTCTTGCAATCACCACAACAGGCTAACAATGCTTTATTAAATAGCATATTCCAGTATAAACAGACACATTTAAAAGGCAGCACTTTGGGAAAGCGCAGAAATAACTGAGATCCCCAGATTTACACATCAGCACATCTAACTTTCTGCCAACGTTTCTCTGCACTGTTGACCTGCGGAAAGCACGAGTTCTCTAGCTGAAGACACTTCCATACGACCTCAAGAAAGGCTCCAGAGCAGCCCTGCTTCCCAGGCAGCCACTGACCCCCAGGGCCAAACAGGTTGCATGAGAACAATGAAGAATGTCAGTTATTGCCTTAGCGGTATCATTGACAGAAATGACAAGAATAATCTCTTGGGTCAACAAAGGCTATTTTAATCTCACAGATTATGTTATTTAATTTCACAAACAACTTCCCTGGGCTATTTGGTACACAAGACATTTGCTGTTTTCAGTTCAGTTATTAACATTATTCCATTTTCCAACAAAGATTAGATCCTTGACTGGAAGAAGATATGCAAGAATAATCAAATCACCTTTTCGTTATTGTTTTTTAAAACAATTATTTGTTAAGTCTGGTTATCTGATTTTCTTTGTAACCTGGGAGGAAAATTCTTTCCCCCTTTTTAAAGGTTACTGTGTTAATTTACAGAGAAACTCAAAGGTCCAATTACTTTAAAGAAATAGCGAGAGCATTGTTGCAAGAACAGGAGCATTCATAGGCTGGTACATGCATATAAGGATGATATGGCTTTTAGCCCAATGTTTTATAGACACTTACAGAAGCTTAACTATACAATTAAGGTAAGATTTTACGGTAACGTCTGTATCTTTAAACAGCCAATTATTTCAGATTATCCTCCCTTCTCACCCCTAGAAAAGAGCTGAAGTACCTTTTATCAATTTAAATTACTTCTAGTATAGAGACCTTTCAAAATTGAAGAAATGAACTGGCAATTTTCTCGGCTCTTTATGTGAATGCACGCTGAGCTCTATCATCCAGGAATCAGAAACCTTCCGGCAGGAAACGCTGACCACAACATTTTGAAAAGTCTTATCTCTTGAACATGCACAATATTAAAGTATTTCTGAACTCTGCTAAGCAGTTCCTTCATAAAAATGTGTTAGACTAACTCACGTTGCGTGACCTCCATTTCTGGGAAATAGAAAAAGCGTTCATTACACATGTTGCCTTCACAACAACAGAAAAACACTTCGGGGCTGTCTTTCTTCTCTATGCAATCATTCCTATAAAAAACAATAATAAAAAAAGTGAAGATTAGTAAATTGGGGTTTTTTGTTCAAGAGAAAACATATGCTCATACTTAAAATTTAAATTGAGCTTCATTAAATCATCCAGAACAACACACTACCCAAATAAGAGTTAAATCTGTAGAAACAAATTAAAATTTTGTTATTTTACACTACAATGAAATATCATTAAAACTGAAACAGCACTTTTTTGCTATTTTTAAGGCAAAGTTAAAGAAAACCATCCACGGGATACTGAAGAACAGTTCAGATCTAAACAGAACAAACCAATGATCAAATGGCTAGTGTTTAACCATAAACTCACAGTACAGAGTTGCATGGATTGGAGAGAAGTGGGAAGGAGAATTTTCAAGTGATTTTATTTTTAGGAAAAAAGATGAAATTTGTGCAATCTCCCCTGCCTACATTATGTTCAGGGACAGGGCTTATTTCACTCAATTAATTAACCACAGGAAAGGAATTCTATCAACAAATAAGCTGAAACTCTTCAAGTCAGGAAGGAAAAACAGGCATCATGCAGGAGACAACTTGACAGCAGAAAGAATTTGAAAATCCTGCAGATATAGTTCAGGATTTTAAATACAGCTGAAGATCGTCAAAAAAGTTTTGGGTTCATTTTGAAAAAATTAGGGTTATTTTACTAGAACCAGCTGTTACAATTACACTGCACTGTAACTTCTATAAAACATTTATTCTTCAATGTTCTTAATCTTTTGTTGTTTGGAATTCATCATACTGTAACTCCCTGTTTAGTAAACCACTCTTCACTTCCAGAGATAAGATTTTGTTTAATGGATATTTCAGACAAACACGGCATCATGCATTCTTATGACAAGTTACAGTTAATGAGGTCTTAGAGCTAATATTTTACTCAGTTTTCAACTATGTCCTTACCATCCTTCCCGCATTTTATTCCTTCTTCCAATTTCTTTTCTTTGCTCAAGGAAGAATTTAGTATCTTTTTTTTTTTGACTGTTCAAAGATACACTTGGAGCTAGTGAGGTAGCAATGCTACAGACCCCAATTCTATCTCCATCCTCAAAGTTTAACATTTTCCAGAAATAAACTCAGCTCAGGAATTCTAAATCCCCCCACTCCTGCAAAGCTACAATTAAGAACAGATTAAAAGACACAAACAAAAAAAGTACTTTCCCATCCTGAGTGACTTACAGTTACTAGGTACTAGGAGCAACAAATCAGACTTCTTTAAAATTGTCCTCCACCCTCCAGCATAGCTGAATTGTGATCATGCTGTGCAAACAAGCTTGCAGATACTTTGCTATTTCTCTGAGAAACAGGTAAATCAGAACTACTGTTCAACTTAGCTTTAAACTGTCATTAAAGGAGAAAACATCTTAGAGTGTACGGAAACGTTATTTGGTAAAAATTATTATCATGATTTCTTCCACTAATTCAAGAAACACAAAAGGAAAATTTTCTAAAATATTGCTACAAATAATTTCTAAATACATTTTAATTAAGATCTGTTATGCATTTATTTTCTTAACTCTCCTTTTCCAAACAATAACCGTTTTGGTCAAACAAAACTTAGTAAGATACTTCAAAGAACTGGAATACCATTTCTTAAGAGTCATGACCTTTACTCAGCCAGTATCTAACAAACCCCAAGTCCTGCTGTTACTGCTCACAGGTACCTGCTAGACCATCTGTTATAAAAAAAATGACTGGAATTTTAGAATATTCGATGTCTCTTAGAGCTGCCACTGAGGTGAGCTTTTTAATAGATCAGCAAAATACTTCCACGTTTAAGTAAAGAGCAGACGAAGTGCTGACTTTCCTATTCCAAAGACTTTGGAAAAGTGAACTATAGAATTTTGCATCCTGGTTTCAATAGCTATATTTGCATTGCTTGGCAACAACAAGTCATGAGAAAATCTGTTATTAGTGGTTTAAAAAAAATAAATTAAGCATCTGTTTTTTAATATATATTACATAAATAAGAGAAGGAAAAACATGTTATTCTGCAAACAAGGCAAAGTACTTAGATGAAGTTGGGTCAACAAATACAGGTAACCAAGAGGGGGAAAAAAAAAAAAAAGCACATTTATATGCATCTAAAACCAAGGTAACTATTCACAGAGTAGCTAACTGTATTAGCATTTGTCTCTAGTATTGTTTGCAGAGGGGAGGATGCAAAAATTGTGGACAGGTAAAATAGTTTAAAATTACAAGTAAATTTAAAATTTATAGGAAAACTCACCTGTCGTAACAGTTGATGTCATCTAGCCAGCAACCTTGCTTCACAATTTCAATTGATCCAGAAATATTCTTCCAGGTAGCAAAACAGTGTCGTCTTTTATCTTTATCACCATAACAAGGTTCAATACCACTGCGATTTGTTTTGTCTTTTTCCCAATTAGCGTTGTAGTAGATACACTCTTGTGTTTCTGATCTGCCAAGTATGGCACCTTTTAGGAATGAAAAGAAAATCTCAATTAAACGTCATTCTGAAGGATGAGACATGTGAACAGTCAAACTCAGGATGTACTAAAATATCATACACCACTTACATCAACATGCCCTCTCCCCTCACTTTTTTTTTTTTTTTAAGGAAAGAAAACTTTTATAAGTTCACAAGCATTCCAAGTAACTGTTGAAACATAAAACAAAGATCTTCTGTTAAGTCAAACATTGACTGGGATAACTTATCAAAACGTGAAGAAATAAAGAACAAGTTATGGCAGTACTTTTCCCTGAATAGCAATAACAGAAAATTTAAAATAATGAACAGTAAAGATTTAGTTTTGGTATTAGCCAAACAAGAAATTTTATCTAGTAGAATTTACCAAAAGGTATTTTTGTCTCTCATCTTGCTACACACTCCTAAAAAGCAGTTAGCAAATCTTAGAAACTTAAACCCAACTAATAAATTTGGGTTTAATCCACCAACATCTCTTCCCCTAGCTTTCATCTGCAATGTCACTTCTTAACACAAAGCACTGAAGTACAAAGCACACTATGCTAAAATAGTATCTTTTATGTCATTCTGATTTGCCAAGCGAGCAACTGGAATTGAGACCGGTAGGTGTGAGGCAGCGGTCCCTAATCTCCAAGGACAGCGCTGTTTTTTTTTTGCTGTGGTCCCACCCAGTCAGTCAGCTGCCACACAAAAGACATTAAATCTTTGCCATAACTGGAGAACCGAGCGGTTCCGCTCTCCCAAGGCCCAGGGCTGCGTCTCCCACGCGCAGTGGGATCAGCCCCGCCGGCTGACCCGCGCGCTTCGGGCGGTAAAAGCCGCGTGGTGTTTGGAGGCCGAAGCACTGATGCGGTCTCTATTAAACACGCTGGGGAACCAAGAACAGACTACCAGACTAGCTGACCTATCCTGGTACTGCATTTTGGTTTGTTTTTTTTTTTGTCATCCCAGCATTCTTAAAAGCTTCTGAACTTCTGAATTTGTCTTTTAAATTACAAGTGTAACTGATACGTCAATGCCTACTGACAACCTACAGCAAACCCCAGACAACATCCATACACGGAGGCACCTCAAAGTGGAGCTAATTTCATAGTTTTAGTGTGATATGAAGCACCAATCTCGTTTCTAGCAAAGGTAAGGGCCTGTCAGGTTGCAAAACTGTTAACAAAAATACTGGAAGGCAGGAATAACTGGTTTTTACTTTTGTTTTATCTTGTCAAATAATGCCAAGAGCGTGTCATTAATCTTCATGCAAACTTCATCATTTAACATGTATTAAAAACATGCGAAAACAGAGAGGGAGATCGAAGAGCTAGAGAGTCAGAGGATTCGCTTTAAATTGAGGAATGGTCAGGAGGATGGATGACAAAGCACATTTACTTTGCTTGCGCACCCATCTGAAATTTTCAAGAGAGACATGTACATTAGACATCACGCTGGAGATCTGATTTAAAGAGAAAAGGTCTTCCATAGCAGTCAGTTCATTACATATTTATTTGTATCACTCATTACCTCCTTTATTCACATATATTCACAATAATTTTGATACGCTAGCTATTGCCTTGCAGCCATAGCCATACTTCTCATTTTTCCTATAGAAAAGTAGAGCAGCTATAACCCTGCCTTCTTTTGTGGGATGAAATCTTTGTCACCCAGGCACGCTACCCAACAGCAGTAGGAGGTGGGGGTCAGGGTGACAGGTACACTGGTAGAAGCTTCCATCACGCAACACCTCCTCAAACACACACAACTGACATTAAGGTGGTTTTTCTCAGTAAGCAGACCCGACAGTACAAGGAACAAAAAGGTTGCACCTCTCGGGGTGACGAGAGTTATTTCAAAGCGAAAATTGGTGCAGCCCTCTTGAAGTGCAGCGCTGACCGCTGTGGGCATCCCACATTACCACCTTCAGAAACTTCTGACTTTGACGCATTCCCAAAATAGGCAGAGGATACTGCTTACGCTTTTTGGGAAAGAGCCTGGCTGTTCAATGGGAGCAATGCGCTAGCCAGCTGGTAACACTGCGAGATGCAGCATGTTAACTATTATATTCTTTGTGCTGCGATGGCCTGACCTTTACAACTCCCAGCTATGGCAAGAAACAGATGAGGCAACAGATTGAACAATTTGGTTCTGTCAGTGCAATAAAGCAGAAGTCCTGGATTTCTCTCATACGTGCCATTCCTTTTCTTCTGCTGCCAAGCCTAGCTTTGAAGGACCATAGACAAGCTGAATCGGATAAAATTCTTGAAACTACAGTGAAATTAACTTTGCACAAATATTGTCTTTATACATGTCTTGTCTATAGTCAGGTTTTCTTATTCATTAATGCTCTGAAACAGTTTAATCTAGCCACCTGGTGAGCTATCGCACTGTTGGTTTAGTGACTTTGGCTCTGACTGGAGAATAACCATAATACCTTCTCTAGGGGCTGAGCAGACATTTGCGGTAGGTCTGGCCAGACTAAACTGATGTATGGACATACCAGGACTATCTTGGCTTAATCTTTCAAAGTAGAAAAGCAGGAACACAGCAGAAGCAAGGGAAGAGGAGCAGGGGAACCACACAAAGGCGGCAGCCCTGCGCCCACCGCACAAAGGGAGCATCTGCTTACAACCAGCCCTGCCACCCCCTCCACAGGAATCAACCTCTGAGAGAAGAAGGGCAGCTGGCATTTACAACAAAAGCAAAATTATTTGGGTCCCAGTTTAGGCCTAGTATGTCTATAATGAAACTCCTACAACCATTCTGAGTGCTGACAAACTGTTTTCATATGAAATTGTCAGGTCCTCGAGAAATCTGTTACTGAATCTCAAAAGACAAAATGCGGCTGTTGAAAGAAGCCATGAGCAAAGCACCAGGAGTATCCTATGGGCTGAACTTAAAGTCTCAAAGCTTCTGAGAGGAAAACACATTTAAAAAGCTAAGAATATTCAAGTATATAGTAAGAGTTTCGTTTCGGCATGTTAAGGCAGATCACATTTAATATATGCTGTTATCATATTGCAGTTAATGTACAGCAGTACAGCTGTATTACTATACATTTGTGTCCATCCACAACAGCTGCAGTAAGAAAACCAACATTTGCTAGTGAACTTCTGAACCGCTGTTAATACAGGATATACTGTAATTGTTAGCAGTACAGAAAGCAATTTTATTAGAGTGCACATGTGCAGTCTGGAAAACCTCACCTTAGTAGGAATTCGAAGGACTGGCTATTGTTTTTTTCAAGCAGGAAGACTATATGAATGTCTGAAAAAAATCTAGCCAGCTTTTTTAATTGAAAAAGGGGGCAAACAATTCAATCTATGCATCACTAGTAAGATGGACTACACTAACATAGCCCTAATTTAGAAAGCGATTACTAGAAAAAGATACTGTATGAAATATGAATTCTCTATTACAGATACCACTACATTACACCCAGAGGGGAAAAAGAGGGACAGAAACTTCTGGGAGTTTTATCATCTAGCTTTATTTAGTAAACCTGAAACTGAGCAACACAATCGTATTGGTCTGTAATGCAGGAATGGTTTCATGACATTTTTAATAGGTCTGAAATGTGACCGTGATCACTCTTCTCATTTCCTGAGAAGGCTTCAAAACAGACACATGCTCCCCCCAGCCTGTGTCCTACTCCCATCCCAAAATACTGATTTTGCAGCATACTTGGTTGGTGACACCACAGAAAGACACAAAGGCTTACAACGAAAGGGAAGGTGAATCTATGATTCCTTGATTGTTTATGAAATTTAGCAGAATTTTTAAGCTGAAGTCATGAAAACTGGTAAAAAGGCTACAATGATTAGTTTGATGGTGCTGAGATCTAAGACACCAGCATGGAAAAAAAAACCACCTCAGGTCTTCTGAAAGCCAGACTATGTATATATGTTGCTCTGATGGGTGCTCCCAGTGTGTACCTAACACGTCCTTAACTAGAAGGGAACTAAAAATAAAATTTCAAAAACTTATTTCTGCACGTCTTCCAGCACTCGACAGAACTACCGTCTACTTTTCCATCTAATATGTCTCTGAGATGCAAACAGGAACACTGAAGTCTGGAAAGAATAATCGCATCTGTATTTTATGGCTGCACAATCTACCCAGACAAGTCCATTATACCGCACTTGAATTTAATTCTATTATAAGCACTAATGACAGTATTGGTAAGGATTTATATGCAGGAATACTCATGTGATAGAAAAGGACCTTTTTTTTTTTTTTCCCCGACGTTCCCTAGAACACTTAGTATATAGAAGAATGAAAGGGTGAAGTTCAGTCTGGCAGCTACCTATACTTACAGTAGAAATATTACTTAAAATGTATTATGTTTGAGATTAATTTGAACTCATTGTGAGCATCAAGATCCACAAACATATAGGGAATGGAATAGTTTATTAGAATAAACTATAAATAAGCAGAATGGCCTGAAGCACCACAGGGACTGGACACTGTGAGTTATTTAACAGACACAACGTCCCATTCACTAAAAGATTGGAATTGTAACACACTGCTCTAGAGGAACAAAAGAGAGCAGAAAGTGTAGCACAAATAGAAACAGCATCTTGAAAGAAGTTCAGTTACTGTACAGGTATCTTTGTCCATATATGTTATCCTATTTGTTTCCACAGTGATCTCATACACACTTTCTAGACCCATAAATCTATCTAAGAACATACTACAAATATATACTAAAAAGGGGCAGCTTTGATGTTTCCGCAAGCAGGAAGCAGGTTTGTATCATCCTGTATTTTTTCTGATAACACCCAGGGGAATGCTTCTCAAAGGAAAAATAAAGAGGTTATTTTCAAGCTAATAAAGCAAACTGAGTTACAACAGAAAGGACCTATTCTGTCCTCCCTACACATACTGATATGTCCCAAAACATATTTTGTTGATCTTTTAGACAAGTATTAGTCCTATTATCATTGTTCTCAATGCTCACAGGTCCAACAAGGACTGTACTTCATAGAAACTAAGTCAAAGTGT